ACCAAAAACAAAAAATTTTAATGGTCTAAAAAAAAAATTTTTTTTTTCCCCCCCCCCCCCCCCCCCTTTCCAATTTTTTTATTGAAAATTGTCAACTCACATGTGTTTTCTTGATGGAATTCGTCTTCTTATAAGGCCATAGATGATGAATCCTAGAAGGATAACACACACAACAAATGAAAGTATCGATAATGCTGATGCAACATGTAAGAGAGATTGTGAATTCTGAAAATACTTCAAAGATTAATTTTTTTTCTTTTTTCCCTCTTCATTTTTACATTTGTCATCTTCACACGACGTTCTACGGCTGATTCCAGAACGGACGCCTCAAGCTGCCTTACGCAGGCTTGTGCTAATTCTTTAAAATCCACCATTTACATTATTTTAATGGAAGTACTTTATAACTGAAACATCAAAAATATGAAAATGAAAAAAAAAATAAAAATGGAAAGAAATAAAGGTCAGAATGAAGAGAAAAAACGAATTTGAAATGAATGAAACGTGCAGATGCGGAGTGTAAGTGATGGGAAAAGGAGGAAGCAATGAGATGGCGAACGGTCAGTTGAGGATTTCGAAAGTTTGAAAAGTTGTTGAGCAAATTGAAGCGAAAAGATGGTAAAGAAAGGAGAAATATGAGAGAAACGTTAGAACTACGAAAGATCAGGTACAATGAAGATAATTTTTGGACAAACTTGAAAAAATAAACAAAACGTACTCAGATGTATTCGGAGGGTCAGTTCTAAGTGGAAGTAAAAGAGAATGCGATGAAGCATCGACAGGTGAAGAGAATGAGAAGATAACGTCAAAAACGGAGAAAACATAGCGAAAAAAGAAAAAGAAAAAACTGTTTAATCCTCATTCATCGGCAAACTCTCAACTCGCTTATTTCTTATTTTTCACAAAAATATTTGTTAAAGACAAAAAAGAGAGAATCTTTGCGACGACGTCGCTGTTCTCATCCTTAATATCTTCATTTTTTTCTTCCTTTTTGTGAATACCTGATGTGTGCAACTGTAATAAGCGGAGCGAGCTACAAGCAGCTAATAAGGAACGACTGAAGAATCACTTTCTCTCAATCTATCTCTACCTATCTATCTATCTATCTATCTCTCTTTGAGCTAATTTATTCTATATGAATTTGAATATCATCTCATTCAAACTCACGAATGTATCGTGTCACCAAATGCGTGAGGATTCACGTGTCTTCTCAGTATTCTTTCTGTCATAGAGTCTATGTGTGTATGTGTGTGTATGTGTGTGCCTTCTCTTCATATTTCCTTTTCTCTTTACCAAATTCTCTCTTTTGATGGTTGAATTTTGTCAAATAAACGAATCATTGACATGTTTGAATAGTTTAACCGTCGTAACTGAACATTTAAGGTCATAATTCAAATAAATTAGGAATGAATGAAGATATTCATTAGATAGTTTTAAACATGAAAGATCTGTTCCAATATCTTCAAAGACTCTTTATTATGCTAATTATCATTAAATATCGTATTTTCATTTTAGTCAAGGAGTTCATTCATTCATAACTTCAACGTTCAATATTTGAATACGTCATTACTCGTTTAACTTGTCACGTGGCATCTTCTACTACGTGAACATGCAAATTCTATTTGAATGACATTCATTTATATACAATCAGTAGCATAGAACGGTCGTCAATTATTATTATATTTATTCATAAATTATATAGAATATTGATTAAAATCTACCCGTTTTATATATATATATATTTATATATAATATTTCTGAGCAAAATGTCCGCATATATTTGGAAATAATTAAAATTATAATCATAATATAAAAAAATAATAAATTAAATGAATTGTATAACCCAATTATGAATGTGATCAGAGAAATGTGGCTTCGGAATCGCCAGCTATTTCTTCGAGCAACAGTTCAACTTGAGTTGGAGATTCTGGTTCAACTTCTTCGCAAACAATCAGATCCGGAAGATCACTTCCTTCGTTTGTCTATAATATATTAATTTATTAAGCAAACTGAGTATCTTGATGATTACCAAGTTGATTTTTGTTGTTACGGGTACGATATGCATACTACTAGGACGGCGTCGACGAACATCTGACATTTGAGTCGCTGATTGTATGTCTGATTCTGATATTTTACGCTCTTGCAATGATAGCTTTTTCGTTACTGCAATTATACATGTACTAAATAGAATTTAATTTGTGGGTTTACAGCTTGTTCCGCTTGTATCATTCTTTAAGCTGCCATTAGATACAAGTTGCTCAATGCACGTTGGAGGTAGAGACTGAATTGTCGTTGCTACTGCACTGCCGTGAGAATTTTCCTCGGCTGCAAAAAATATTTTTTTAATTAATTATATGGGTAAAACATGATATAAAAAACATCTATTTTCTATTGTCATGCTTCAAATGGAAAGAAAAACTGACATCCAGGACGATAGGATGGATTAGACGACATTGGTTGATAACCAGTTGTTTGACATCCGTCGGGATTATAGGTAAGTTGACTGAAAGCATGCGGATCAGTTGAATGTTGGTAAAGTGTTTCTCTTTTTGTTTAAATTTTTTTTATTATAAAAATTGATGGAAAAAGTTAATTTGACGAGAAAGATGGACCTCATGAAACGCATTTGTTGATTAACAAGACGACCAACTGCTGATTGACGTGTTCGGACATTCTTATAAGGTTGGAAGAGCACGATGTAAATCTGGAAAAAACAGAATTACGTTACGTTTTGAGAAATTTTTTTTTTTACTTTTGGAGCAAAAAAGCAAATTAAAGCTACAGTACCAGAGAGACTGACTGTCATACATAATGAAGTAATTTGAATCTGAATAATAGTGTTTGAGGAAGGAGAAACATTCAATTATCATACACGGAAGTTGTTTTGTGTCGCAAAGTAAATTGGTCCAAATGCAAGCCATAAGATGCAAGTGCTGTACATAGTAAATCCAATATGACGAGTTTCATTGAAGTTTTCAGGAATTTTTCGAGTTTTAAACGCGTACACTGTACAGGCAACGATCAAAATTAAATTATAAAGCAGAGAGACTAGTAAATGGGAAGTTGTTGCCTAAAATAGATGATTGAATAAGAAGAAGAGTTGAGTTTACGCACTTTGCACGTAAGGACAGCTTCTGTTCGACTAGGAAATACTATGCGAGTACCCGGTGGATCAACAATGATCCAAATTAATGAGCCAAGTAGCTGCACTGATACAATCGATAAGCATATCATAACCTTCAATCATAATCAGTTTTTTGCATACTGAACCTTTAGTCTAACTTGAGCTTTTGGAGTGATGAATCGTGGTCTTCGAGCACTTTCGGGCGAAAAAACTCTGGCCAGTCGATTGGTTTTCGTAATGATGGCAGCATATATTCCGGACATTGATAAACCCATAACCAACTGAAAATTAAATTGAAAAGGGAAGTAAATTTTTTGAACATACTCTGGTCAAGGCACAAGTTGGAACTGTCGGTTGGGAGACCAAGAAGAATGTTAGTACGTAGCAGAGAGATATTCCTGTCATCATACAATAACATAATTCTCTGCCAGAAGCCATAATCTTAAAAAGACAATCTTGCTTCTGTATATCATGTTTGATCTCTACCACTGGTGTATTTGAAAACTTGAGGAATACAGCCACAACGAAAAATGTTGAAGCCAGACCAATAACAGAAAAAATTGAAGGTATGAGTGCCCATGGAGAATCCCAACTAGAATCAATCTTTAGGTTAGAAAATTGCAAAAAGCCTGAACCTCATGGAGACAGGTGGGATGGGAACACATTTAGATAAATGCCGGTCAGGAACTTGTCCAATAGGACATTCTTTACAACTTGTCTCATTTATAACGATACTGGTAGCCATATCACAGGGTATACAAGCCCAACAACACGTCTGATCCTGGTAGGCTCTACAATATTGGATTGAAACCATACAGAAAAGTTATAATTGTTACCTGTAATGTCCTCTTTTGCATTCTGTACTGCAAACGGATAAAGGTTTCTCATTACTCGAACCATTCCGAATGAAGCCACGGCGAACATAAGGAACGTTTAGTTCAAACAAATCTTCGTTTGCTCTCCATTTTCCAACTTTCTTGTATGTTCCGTTCTTGTCAAGTTGAAAAACATCATATCGACCGATGCCATCACCGTTCAAATCAATTATAGGCATCTCATCATCTATACATTAATAGTTCTTACATTGCTGTAACACTTTTCAACCTACCTCCAATACTGACGTTTCGATAATGACTTTGTAGGACGGAACCATTGAAGCCTGTCGTTGACAGTGAACAATGATGAAAAGCAGTAGATTTGCATATTTGCTATAAGTTCTTAATGAATTACGCATACCATGCTACTTCGTACCTTGATATATCTACTGATAGCTGTAGCCAAGACTTTGACTGTATCCACCACGAAGGGCACGTATGATTCCTTTAATATTGTACTTATTGAAGCTCATATAACTTGATGGCTTACTTGTTTCAACGGTAAGTTCTTTCCTTCAAAACATTCACCGAATGTACTGATATCTTCAATCTCATCACATTTCATTTTTTCCCAATATTCTTCAAGAAAAACATTCCCTACTGGCGATAAACGTCGAAAATAGTCTAAGTATCCTGTAATGCGTTTCGTAGACAAATATAAAAATAGATTTAGACAAACCCTTCTCTTCACGTGTATATGGAGCTATAGTTAAAGCTCCCGCAGTGCGATGAGCTAGATCTTTGACAACAGACTGCTTAATTCCCCAAGAATCACTGGCGACAAACCTGAATTAAACAAGAAAAATGACGATAAGTAAGATCTGTTTTCAAACCAAAAATATCCGTCATATTCTGATCTTCCTTCCATTATCAACGTATCCAACGAATTCAGAAGTCTTTTCAGATTATCCTCATCGACAAACATCACAACACCCCGAGCTTTACGTTGAGTTTTCATACGAATTAATAATTCTCTGAAAGTATGGTAATTGGTTTGTTCAGACAAAACATCCATTTTCTCACTTATACATAGGAATTGTCCATTTTCTACTAATTTTTACAACATCTCCATCTATACAAATTCCAAGATCAGTAGCGGCTGCACGGAACGAATCCATTCCGCGTTCTCCTTAACAATCCACTTTATATTCAACAATTTTCAATCATCTATTGTTACCGTAGGAGCCCGTGTCTGCGATTGCGTGTACGTACGTCCACTCTAAAGCATTGACCTGAAACAAAAAAATTTTGCTTCCGTCATCTTTAAGCCAAAGCAGCAGCATACCACGCGTGCCATCACTTGAGCTTGCAGGTTATCCGGTGGGACGACGCGAGAAAAGTAACCAAATCTCGTTTTATCTGATAATTCCGTTCCCGTAGACGAATACGACAACTGTGGGATCTGTAAATCATAAATATAGACAAAAAAATCTTTTTGTTTTATTTTAATGACCGGAAGACTTTAAAGCTTTTGCTAAATCATCTGGAAAATCATCTTTATTGCTGTTGTTATGAATGATCAATGAACATTCGGTAAAAGCCTACCTCATTCTCGAAGTTGAAGAATGCAACCGTTTGTTTCAAAAAAAAACGAAAGAATAACAACACGGTTTTGAATGAGCCACGTGAGATAAGTGGCACGTGAACATCGAAATTAGCATATGCAAATCAATTATGCTAAGACATACATTATTCGTCTCGTAGAAATGTTTGTTGTTATGGACGTGTTAACCCCAAAACCGATTCTCATTATAGTCATTAACATCTACCCTCCCCCCCTGACTCAATTCAGAATTTTGAAAAGAAAAAAAACCCGAAAATTGAAAGCATACTCCCTGCCCTTGAATACAGAAATGATTAAGTTGTGCAGGAAATTGACAACTTTTGTGTTTTTTTTTCATTTCATGGACATGTTTGTGAAGTTATATTTACGTAAAAAGACAAAAAGCTGCCTAGGGGGAGATTATAAACAAGTTTCCAAAAGCTTTTTTAAATAGTTCGATTAGCTTGAACAAAGATAAAAAACTATTTAAGGCAGATAGAGTCTAACGATCCCTTCCCGCTGCATTCACTCATTTTGGTTCTTTTAGTTTTTACGTGAAAATTGCGTGAAAATATTATTTTCACTGCCTAAATCGCTGAGAGCGGTTGTGCTTGGAGAGAGAGAGATTCGATGAAGTTTCTTATTTTTAATATCTGGGTTGGTTAAAAGAAAGGACAAACCTTAAATAGTTGGAGCATACTTGCCACCATGACAGAAACTTGGCTTCCAGCTGCTCCAACCACAGCAACAATAGGTTGATGTTGATATGAAGCCGTTGATCCATCCTATATCATTTTATTTTTACATTTCAACACTCATTGCGTAGATTTAAAAAAAAGAAAATAAACTAACCGCACAGACGACGCCTTCACTGCTGGACATAACACTCTTTATAAACTCTAATGATTGCTCCAAAGCGTAACTATCCATAGAACTGAAACATATTGTTATATTTAGTATATCAAGCATGTTATTAACCATGTGTCAAGTATTTGAGCTCCCAAACTAGCCTGAGGTAATAATTCTCTTTTCATATTAACTTGCTCTAAAGCAAATAACATGGCAATCATTCGTTGAACACCTTGGTCAGCCTACAATGGGGAAACAAAATATTGGGAAATTTGCATAATCGGTTGAACGAACTTTAATATTTCCACATGTTCCTTGATGTCCAGCTTCATGTATAGGAAATAAGCCACCTAAGATTATCTGGCCAGGAACAGTTACCTTAACCGGAGATGTTCGAAATGCTTAATTCACGGGTATGTACCTGTTTAACTGGCCGTGGACCACATAAACATGTGTTTATTAAAATTAAAATGACAATAGAGGCCTCCGCTTTGATGCCCCATGTCATGGCAAGAATTGAGGGGAAATATTCTAAAATAAAAAAAAGGTAATGAAATGTTTTAAATTTAAAAGTAAAATATCTTTAGAAGGAAATGAAAATGAAGTACCCTTATTAGGGAATGCATTGGGTGAGCTTCATTAAAGTTAAAGAAGATGACAGGTAGAAGGAATAAGAATTAGCAAACTCATTAGTAAATCAGTAGGAGCAATTTGACGTCGGACATTTTCTATCTTCATTTCTGAGATTAAAGATGAGGAAAAAAACTGTTCAAGTTCAGGAAGAAGAAGAGAAATCAACAGTTCGGGTTGGATGGCAGAAAACAAGGAAGAAGATCTCACCTCAATAACTTTAAAGATTTCACTACCTCTCTACCTTTGCCTGCTTCTCTCTCCTAATGGAATGTCGTCATTTCCTATAAAGTACGGAAAATGACTTTAAGAGAGAAATGAATGGATTGAAAAGAAGCAAATCTCAAGTTCGTAACAAGAAGAGAGCAAGAAAAGCATTCTCTTAGTTGATTCTTCGTTTGTAAAAACAAAGTCTAATGCGAATCTGCCTGTTTCCGGATACATTAGCATCTGAGCTTTCAACGAAACGGATATAGGCAAAACCTTGAGAAAACCAAAAGCTCTTGTAAATGAAACTAAATTTTTCTTCTCATAAAAATCATTTTTGAAAACAAACACACATATAGAAAAAAAATTTTGATTGCTGCTCACCCTCTTTCTCTATTTCCTTCTTTTCTTCTCTATCTCTTTCTTTCCCAACTTCAGCTCGCCTACTCCTCATTCCCTTCTCTTTTCTCTCTCTCTATCTCTCTCTCTTCTGAGAAGCTCATTCACCTAACTTATAACAAAGTATTAGCTTAATGAATCTCCATCTAACACACTGCTAAATAACGAGAAGACAGCCAAAGGAGGGAGGAACTTTTCAATGGATAGAGAATGAGAGAGATACAGAAACGAGGTGCAAAAGGTTATAAAATAGGAGAGAAAGAGAGAAATTTCTTCGATTTTAGGAATGCACGCCCATCACTCACATCACCGAGCTAATTGCCAGAACAAACCTGACATACATACATGGACAAGCTAAAAACTGCAAAAAAGGGTGGCCGAGATTGAGAAAAAAAAAAGATTTTTTTCTAAGAAAAAAACAACAAATAAGAAAATAATTTTGGATATCTGATGACGGAACAGGAAATTAATGAAATTATTTGAAAATGTAATCAATAGCATATCCTTAACCATACAATATATTTTTGTATGGTTTCTCAGAAAAAAAGGAGAGGACGAACATTCGTGAAAACATCCGAATATGGGAGAGAGAGAGAAAGGAGAAAAAATAAATAATGAATAACTCTTTTACCTCAAAAAAGAACTTTGCATAAGTTAGTATTGGAAAATAATATTTTGTGGTTAGTGAGTAGGATGAAGCCTAACTAGTGGAACGACCTAGATGACACAGAAGAAGAAGAAGAAGACTTGAGACCGTATGATTGACCATTTACGGCTTCTTTTCAAATTAAAACAAAAAAACTTGTTCATTTTTTGGCTCTAATCACTAGGAAACACCCAAAAAACATTAAAATAACCAACATTTCTCATCAAATTATTCAGACGAGAGAGAGAGAGATAGAGGGAGAGAGAGAGAGAGATATGGAGAACGAGAAAAATGGACAATTCTCAACTCTCACAATAAGCATAATGTAGAAATTTAGAATCGGTGATGACGCTAATCGTCTCGACAAGCCTAGTTCAATGCTTAGAATTCATCTTCTTCTTCATTGGGACGAACAAATAACAAATAAGAGCTTAAATCTTCAATTTGAAGATATATAACCACAAAAAGAACATGAGATTACAGAGAGACACAAGAGATTATTATTTTTTTTTATTTCGACAACAAAAAAACTAATTCGATAACAAATGAAATAGCCTCGTCTGAACAAAGACAACACACATCTTAGGAGAGAGATTGAGAGAGTGACAGGATTTCCTTAACAGAGACATAGGAGAGAGAGAGAGAGAGGGAGAGAAAGTGTCTGCTGAACCTTGAAGGATAAAGATATGTTACTAATAGACAAAATGATCAGAAAGCTTTCATCGACCAATGAATTCTCTCCCATAATCATCAAAGGCATATAAAACTATAATAAAAGCATCATCCCATCTGAACATTTTCATAATCCTTCTTATTTTGGCGAACATCAAGATACAACGAAAAAGTAAGTTTATGAGTACATTTGATTGTCTATTTTTGGAAATTACCAAACGATATGGCTAAGAAGTAGAGAGGGAGAGAGAGAGAGAAAGAGAGAGAGACAGAGAGAGAGAGAGAGAGAGAGAGGGAAGGAAGGGGGGGGTCAGCTGGTAGAAGTAATTCAGGATTTCAGTTACATCTCTTCTCTTCTACAATCCACTTTTTTTCTCTCTTTTATAACAAAAAAAAAGAGAAAAGATTTAAGAGTATTCAATTAATAGTTTTTGAATGCGAAATGTTCGCTTGTCATCGTTTATTCGTCTTCAGATTTACACATCAGCTTTCAGCTTTTTGATATTCTCCATATCAAGATAGCCTTCTTGTTTTTACTATAAAAAAGATGAAGCAGGAGAAGAAAGTTCGAAATAAGTCCATTGAATGAGCTTCGAAACAAGGAAAACTTTAATAATCTCAGATATAGAAAAAGAGGACGTGAAGACGACGAAGTAAGACGAGAAACACGGACAATGTGAGCAAAGTGATTTGAACTTAAAAATCGTTTCATAAGGTCAATAGCTGTTCCAAAGATTCTTCCGTTCCTCTCAACAAGTGACACTACAAATTAAGAATACGGCCAAGACAATGAGTTTATTAGAAAAAAAAGTTATAAATTAATAGATTTCATTTTCTCTCTCTCTCTCTCTCTCTCTCTGTGCCAATATTGTTTTTTTTATATTTTTCTCGGAGCACACACAGAAAAAAAAACCAGTTGAGGGGGACGGAGATGATCAATGTCAATCAAACTATCTGAAATACGTTTGGGTGTCGTTTTTGATAATTTGGTAAAGTGTGGGCATAACAAACTCATGAATGAATGTCATGTGAAAAAACATTATGTTTTCCTTCTATGGGATGTATCATACTATCAAATTTCGAGAAGCTGTAAGCCCGTCAGAGTCTTAAAAGCATTGGCGTCAATCTATCCGTCCGGCTTCTGGAGAGCACAAGCAGCTCATCTCATGTGCAAAAAAAAAGAAACAATGGAATTTTTATGCAAAAGATGAAACCCCACAAAGAAAAATGATGGGAAAATAGGCAAATAAATGGCTTGTGCTGAAGCTGAACTTTTAAAACGAAAATGACAGAAATGGTGTGGGAAAAGCTGATTGGCAGGTATTTAAAATCAAAACTACATGACATCGTATTGAGATAGTTAAACCGAGAAAAGCATCAAAGCTAAAAATCTGAAGATATTTGTGTCAACTAAGCCAAAAAGCTGCAAATTACTGGATCAGTTCCGACAAGTGAAGATAGTCCTCTATTGAAAAGAAGAAGCGACAAGAGATATTTAAAGAAGAAAATGTTTCTTCAACTCTTTCACAGCTATCATGAAGGATTTTCTATAGACGACAATTGCCATGTAATTTGCTTAAACATAGAACTTAGGCTCAAACTCTAAAAAAGAGAATGATAGAGAGAATGGGAGGAAGATACAGAGAGATATAGAGAGAGAAAGAGAAAGAAGGGCGAGGGTGGTAGACAAGTGAGAGAGGGACAAAAAATAAAGTACGAGGGAGAATTGAAGTCAAAAACATTTTTTTTTAATATTTTCTTTAATTATTATTTTTCGAACACTTTCTCGTTGTCAACTATTCGAAAGTTCGTTTTAGAAAGTGAATGAGAGGGAGGAAGAGAGAGAAAAAAGCGTATTACGAGGGAAAACTGAAAGGGCGGATGAACACAGACTTTCCTCCAACTTCGCCATAAATAGCTAAAACCAAAAAGCCGAGTGTTATATGAACAGAGAGAATACCAAAGAGAGAGAGAGAGATAGAGAGAGAGAGAAAGAAGAAAAAATTACAAAATCTTCTCCAATCATTCAATTTTTTTTTCTTCGAACAGTAAGTTTGCAGACAATAAAAGCGAAAAAAAAGAGTTTCATCATCTTCTTCTCATCTCGTCGGCTCAGATGTACTTGACAAATGAATTTGTTTTAAGTGAAAGGAGAGAAAAAGTAAATTTGTGATGGAAGATTTGTGAAAAAGCAGACGAAAGGAAATATTTTGATAGAATTCCATATATAACTCTTAATATCTACTAAATATGCCAATCAGACGCATTAATAGCCCTGAAAAGCTTTTAGTTTTCTTAATTTTTTCATCTTGACCATAGTTGTACATCCTCTACTCCTTCACGAACATCTCTCTCTCCCTTTCTCCCTCCCTCTCTCTTCATACTCTTCTTGTATTTTCTCCCTCTCTCTCTTTAAAGATTTTTTTAGAAATTCATTTCACAAAAAAGAAATGATAGTTTCCAGAAAGTAACAAGATTTAAAATAAATTTGTTTTAATTAAGAAAACTCAATCGCCAACTTCTTCATTTGGCTTCAAAGTTTGAAACCAAAATGGAACAAGACAGAGACATATTTGGAAGTGAAGAAAGTCCGAAATGTTCACAAATTGGTTTAAAAAAAAAGATTTTTAACTTGAAATTGACTACATTTATTAGCTTTCCCTTCATAAATGACTTGAGAGGGAGAGGCAGAGAGTTACATGACGAGCCAGTCGTCGATGAGAATGTTCAAATGGCAACTCGGCCTTACATGAGAAGAATGAGCTTTTCATATAATTTTACATGAAAATTATCATAATTTTTACTAAAATAATGTAAATTTACGGGAGAATTTTTGTTTTTGCTCATACAGAACATGAAGGGAGGTAAGGTGGAGGTAGGGAGTAGCGAGAGGGCACCAAACGAAGAATGTTTTCTTCTCCTTGTTCAACAGAAAACAAATATGCCTTATTATAATTTAGAACTTCATTAATATTATGTACATAATAGATGAAATAAGAAAATGTAAGACGAAATAAAAGATAAATTGTGGGGTGAAAAAGGAAATTTTAAAGACTTTTTATAAATTTGAACTTCCTATGGACAACGGATATTCGAGAAGTTGAAGAGTATTGGAGAGTAAACCTCACACTCTTTTGCTCTCCCTTTCTCTCTCTCTCTCTCTCTTTTAGTTTCTCTCATCCATTTTCAACTTTCCTTCTTTCTTTTTTTCTTCTCTCTCTCACCTCCAACCCTATACGTTTCGTTAATGCATCAACGATTTTTCGAAAAATGTTTCCAATGTTTCTTTTATATTAGTAAGTGTTTGGAAAGAACTACTAGATAGTTTACCAGCTTTTGCCTTTTTTTTTTGCTGGACGTTTCCATATGCAAATTCATTTTCTACTGACACAGGTTGCTGTTGCTCAATAGAAGCTATTGAAGTGTGAGGTTCAGCTGCGAACACGATAAGCTTGAAGAACAAATAGAAACATAATTTGAAAAATGAAAAAAAAATTATCTTTTGTAACGTTAAGTTTTGCATTTTTCAGTTGAAAATGAGCGAAAGTTCCGATTAGCTCACATGAGTAATCGCATGGGAATCAATAAAAATAAAAATTTGCATAAAACAGTTTTTTTCTTACAAATTCTGAAATTAATGAGTTGTTTTCAATTGAATTCATATCAAGCCTCATTAGTAAAGTTCAATATGAAGTTTCACGTGGAGTATGTGGGAAGGTTCACGTGTAATACACGTGCTTTACGTGGATGAAGCAGTCACACTATAGAAGATGTAAAAGTCATTTTTGGCGAATTGTTTGACGAGGTGCGGTTGCTGCTTGATGATGTCTTATGGATCTTCCTTATATGTATCTCATCTACAAACTGAATTCTTGATTTTTGAGCTTCAAGATCATTTTCGTATTTTTTGTTTTCGTTTTGCATTCTTTTGAGTTTCATCTTTGTAGGTAAGTAACCTTTAAATTGTTAGGCTGAACACTTTTTTTTTCTCCTTTTTTTTTTGTTTCTCTTTTCAATGTTTGATCTTTTTTGTGCAATGTTCTCGTATTTTTTTTCCCTCAGGAGTTCGAAACGAAAGATGATCGCTTGCATCAAACTTTCGTTTTATCTGTTTCTGTTAATATTCCTTTTCATTTCTTTATTTCATTTTTTTTTCAAATCATTTATTACTTCTGCAATAGCTATATATACATACATGAATGTATGTCCAGAACCTTTCCAATGAATATCTTAGTGGATGTTAATGTCAAGCTAATCCCAGGAAATGATTGATATTTCTTATCAGGTTAGCAACTCTGCTTTGAAACAGCTGAAGGGATATTAGTAACGAGAAGATAGTGATGTCTCATAATTATGAAAATATTTTGTGAATGGAAAGGAAAAAAAAGGAAATGATATCCATATTTTGAGGAGGAGGAGGATGATGGAAAGAGGCTGACGGGGGGACAGAAACAACGGAACAGGCAAAAGGATTTATTTCAGTAAATGAGAAGAAGGCGACGACGAAGAAAAACGAAAAATGAAATCTATTTCAATCTCATATGTGCTCTCATCCCTGACTCTTCAGAGGTCATAGAGTAAGATGCCCTTGTGTCTTTGCAACAACTCCTCTGTTCAAGAACGAATCTTTTCTTTACATTTTTTTTTGTCACAAAATGACGAACGGTATTTCCCGAAAGATCAATCAGCGGACAAAATACTTTCGTCCGTGGGCGAAGTAGTTAGTTCTATGTTCTAACAAGTTATTTACTCGGTTTTGAATGCTGAACTAAATGAGATTATATGTAAATAATCTTGATCATCAGTGAGCAAAAGGCACGGATTTTCCGGTTACATTTGTACACAAAAGAACAGAAGAAGAGCAAAACTTTTTTGAGCGCAATAACTAAACGAAATCTATAATTTTTTCGGTGTGTTGTACAAATATTGACAAGAAGTTTTAACCAGAAATGAAAGAATGTTAGCAAAAAAACACGTGAAGTTTAAAGAAATTCTACAATGTTTCTCAATAGAAAAAAAAATTGAGAGATTGAGAGAGAAAGAGATAGAGTGTGAGAGAGTAGAATACAAATGAATGAATGAATGAGTAGGAAGAACCTTTATCATAATTGCTCAAACACTCAAATGAATGAAAAAAATTATTTCATAAATAGTACAAAGTCACAACAACAAATCATGTTTATACATCAAAAAAATAACAAGAAAAACATCTTTACCTTCTTGTTGTAAATCCAAAAATATAGATGATGTTTACATCAAAACATTTCTTAACAAGGAAAGAAGCTTAATATAGATCCGTCTATTGTGGAAGTGAAAGTTGTAAGGCGATGATGTGAAGAAAGAATACAGAGAGAGAGAATACATAGAGAGAGAGAGGGAAAAAAAGAATAAGAATTGAGAACAGAAGAGGAAGGATAGAGATCAAGAATGAGAAAGAGAGAGAGAAAAAACTCTTCAAACGACTTCTGTCTTCTACTTATGGATTCTGTTCCTTTAAAGGTCATCACAATAACAATACGATGATTATGGGCGACGTGATTAACAGAACTTTTCTTTCATATCAGATCATCTATTAGCCGAATTAGTATGAAACGTTCAAAATAGAATAAGAGGAAGGAGAGAAAAGAAAAAAAACGCGTTCTATCTATAAAAATCTTTTTTTGTTTGCTCATTTTATAAAACGGCTCGACAGAACGAATTATCAAAAAAGAAAATCGGGTTGTGTAACAGATAATATGTGGTTCCAATCATTACTTTTGCCCGAAACTTTCTCTCATTTCGCCCTTTTGCCAGTTAGTTCTTTTGTCAACTTCTATCACAGGTCCAAGCAAAGCGTTATTTGTTCACAGATTCTTATTGTTGGCGATTGTCTGTTGTCTCATGAAGATGAATGATCTCTTCTTGACGCAAAGAATCAGAAGAAGGGTATATAAGAGAGTGGAACAACTATCTGCAGTTGTCCTCCAAACACCCACAAATAGTGTCAGTTCACGTAGGAAGAATACTCAAATAATATGCTGTATCTCCTATTAGTCGCTGCTTCTGTTCTTACTGTTCAAGCTCAGCCAGGTAATATCTATCTGATTAATCCATAATTATACTAATCTTATGATATATTCAAGGGCCTGCCTTAATTGACGAATCCACTAGATGGAAGCAATGCAGTGCCGTCAATCAATCTATCTATGATTACCAGGTAACCATATCATTATCATAATCCTAATTTGCATTTTTATATTTTTCAAGATGGAAACCTTACAAGGCCAATTCACTGATCTCTCACAATACAGAGGACAAGTTCTTCTTGTTATTAATGTTGCCACTTTCTGCGGTAAGTGATATGACAGTTCTTTAATCATTTCTATTTATAATATTTTTCTTTTTTAATCATAAATAATATTCGTTTCTTATAGCCTACACCCAGCAGTATACTGACTTTAACCGTGTCATCGATTCGAATGCTAACGGAGGTTTCAGTATCCTTGCCTTCCCATGCAACCAATTCTACCTACAGGTATTATATGTTTCTTTACCAAACAAGTTCAAATAAGCTTCCGAAAAAGAGTTTTGACATTGAATTCTCGAGTAAGACACGATCATCTCTCGTTTTCTAATAGCAAAACTGGACTTTACTTTTGTGTAACAGAAAGTTACAGAAAACTTTTTGCTGACACTCAGATCGATTAGCAGATAATGCGCTTATGAAGTTTACAAAACTACCACGCGCACGACTCCATTCTGAATGGCAATGAAACATTTGGCATTTGATTCGTTGTCACAGAACCGAGCGTCTTTTTTTAAGTCAAAGCTCTAGTTTAAAATTACGACATAATCCCTTCCACCTTTAATGCAAAACCTTAAACTTTGAAACAAAAAAAAGCTGCCACATAGTCAATGACATTCCGAATTCGGAAAACAAGTTGGATAACACCAAATTTTGCAGGAACCAGCAGAGAATCATGAATTGATGAATGGAATCATGTATGTCCGTCCAGGAAACGGATGGAAGCCACATCAAAACCTCCACATCTACGGAAAAATTGATGTTAACGGAGAAAATCAACATCCATTGTATGAGTTCTTAAAGGTAACTCGAGTATCAAAAATTCTTTGAATACTCATGTTTATTCAGGAATCTTGTCCACAAACTGTTGATAATCTTGGAAAGCGTGAAGAATTGATGTACAACCCAATCAAGACTAGTGATATCACATGGAATTTCGAGAAATTCTTAATTGACAGACAGGTTTGCAAACTCAGAATGTGAAAGAATTACAATTTTAAATTGTAGGGACGCCCAAGATATCGTTTCCACCCAACTGCCTGGACTCACGGAGAAGTTCTTCAACCCTTCATTCAAGAGCTCATGGCAGAGTCTGCTTAAATCTTTTTCTTAGAAATGAACGGAAAAAATTTTTCGTTGAAAGCAGTATTTGTATATTTCTTTAATGCAAAGACGCGTTCCACTCGGAATCTGTTAGAGACGGATTTTAAAAGACAAGCTTAATAGTCTTGGCTACAGATATCCATTTTAAGAAACCATCTTTGATTGTTTATATTTAAGTTACACGGGCATGTGCTTGTGTTTTTACACAAAATCTATATATTTTCACTTTTTTGTAAATAATTCCTGAATAAACTTCTGCTCATTCTATTAATCTTCCATCTAAGGATCACGTCATTGCTTAGCAGTGTGTTGCAATCACTAATTGTTTTCAAATAAGGCTAAAGGAGCTATGAAAAACCTGTTCTTTAAAATATATAGTTTAGGTCCTATGAAGATCATGAGCAAATAAGACTGTGTCAGCTTATCACATGTATGCGTAAAAATTATTTTTTAAAGTACACGGGCCGGAATCTGCCAACAATACTTAACGTCAATCTCGTTAGTTTGCCAAACTGCAGAAATTTGCTCAATGGATATATGTACTTCACTTAATTTGATACAATCTTCATCAAATAATTTGCAGAGCACAGAGGGACGAAACTGTTCGAACAAATAATTTTAATTATTTTCTGAGTTTATAACAATTCGCAATGCAAACAACTCCCAGCCTTCTCTATCACTAGCTACATGTTCCTGAGCAAACCCCGTAAACAGTTATGTCATTAAACATTTCACATGAATAAAGAATTATTTTCATTACTTCAACTTACTTTCATTCAAATTCATTTTCCCACTAAAGTTACGTGAAGCTCTATGTGAAGCTTGACGAGCAGTATGTCATGCACGTGAACAAGTCCAAATGAACGAGATCTTCATCATATCAAGTTGTGCGGTCAGCTGAGCTGCTTACGTGCTTCTCTTACAAAACTCTCTTATCAACTGACATAAATGTGAGTTTTCGACTTTTCAACATATTTATTCCTTTTTTTATATTATTTTCAACTTTCGTCCCACCACTTTTCCCTTTGGCTGAGGGAGCTCTCTTCTGAACCTTTTTCTGCTTGTTTGATTTTTTTTTTCTTTACAACTTCTGATCTCTTTCAACCGCCTGTTCCCCTTTCCTCTCTCTCTTGCCGTGCAGAAGCAAAGTGTGATCACTTACATCGCACTTCTAATTTATCTTCATGCTCATGACCTTCTTATTAATTAATTAATCCTCGACTTTTGCTCTTTCTGCAAATCCCAACAAAGAAAGCAGCTTTGAATTTTCCTAGCAGAAATGTCAAAGGTAAGGTTACTGAATAAGCTTTCAATTCTGATAAAAGTGTGTCTGCTTCCATGCTTTGTAAAAGAAACGTCAGTGAACTCTTGACGTGTCATATGTGCGCGCCCTTGACGCATTCCCTGTGTCTTCCTATTCCTAGGCTTGCCGAAAGCTCAAGCTTTTATCCTTAACTGAATTATCTTCTTCAAGTAAAGTGTTATAGTTCTTATCGCCCACTTAACATTCTTGTTATGTTCAATCGTCCTTATTATTTTCTGTTTATATTCTCATATGCATGCATGCAATCATTATTTTAATGAGATGATGAAATACTTACTCTTTCAGTTAACTTGGTCATCCGCTAGTAAATTAAAGAGCGTAAGGATATAATGGAGGAGTACACTAGAGAGCCATGGTAGGAAACTTTGTTTCTATCCTGTTTTATGATCAAAAAATGTTTTTTAGCCCTTACAGAATCTTTGATGACACTGGCTCAGCATTTGCCATGGGTCTAGTCGGTGGTTCTATATTCCACTCTTTCTCAGGGTATAAAAATGCTGCTAAAGGGCGAAAATTGGTAATGATTTTTTTTCATTAGCTTTGTTTACGAATGTTTAAGTTTGGTATGTTACATGAAGTACGCATGAGGAGTACTCTGACAGGAGTTCAATTTGCTGCTTGGGGTGGCATGTTCAGTACCATCGATTGTTGCCTAGTTGCTATTAGGAAGAAGGCAAGTTTTTTTTTGTTTTGTTTCCTGAATTGTTAGTGCTTTTAGGAGGATCCATTAAATTCTATTGTATCTGGTGGTCTTACCGGAGCTTTACTCGCTATCAGATCAGGCCCTAAGGTAAGCTTTTGGTTTTCCGCTCTTACATGTTTCGTGTTATTAGGTTATGGCTGGATCCGCAATTTTGGGAAGTGTAATATTAGCTATGATTGAAGGAGTTGGTGTTTTAACAACAAAATGGATGGGAGCAATGGTTGATCCTACCGCCCCACCTGTAAGTTGCATTTGATTAGTTCGGCTCTTAATTTATTATTTTCAGCCCGAAGTTTTGGATGACCCTAGAAACCTACCTCCAGCCAAGCTTTCAGAACCCGGTATTACTCCTGATTCTACAATGCCTTTTGGTCTCCCCACCCCTCTTCCGAATATGTCTTAATTTTGTTTTTGAATTTCTCACTGTTATCCGCTTCATCTTACAACACTAGGTTCATCGTTCTAGATTCTCGTATGTCGATCACTCCACTTGTTGAAAGTTAGAAAAATCTGTTAGATCCGTTGTTAGCTAGGTTTGTTTAAGCCCTCCTCTCACATTTCACGAAAAGAGTTAGTTTTTTATTTTTGTTGATAAATTTTGAATTTTTAACCCTGAGTTTTCCATCTGGTTCTGTCCTCTTTTTATCGTGTCTGATTCAGTTTTCTCAGTCTTATCCGTGTTCAGGTGTATGCTGAAGACTGCACGTTTCTTCAGAAGTAAAGACTTAAGGCTAAGGTCAGTTTCTCAAAATATGGTGTTTGTTACGAATGAATGAATTGTTTAGGACGCGTGACATCTGTACTTCTTTCTTGCTTCTGAAGGAGAGAAAAAATCAGCAGTTAGACTATCTGAATGATATAAGAAAAGAGATAGAAGATAATAACAAGAAATTGCGACATACTCCATTTTCTCATATTAAGTAAGCAACTTAGCTGAATCTATTATCAATCGCATGCTTTAAAGGTCCAGAGGAGTAATTTCTAAGAATAATAATCTACGGTTAGCTATGCAGTGTGTTCAGCAGAAACTTGGGACAGCAACAAATGCTGTTGCCAATATTCCGTCTTTTGTAACTATTGAAGTGAGGTTTCACCATTTTTTTATTTTATTTTTCGGTTTTTTTTGTTCTTCTTGGCTTTTTTTTGGTTTTCATCTCAAAAACAACTTATTCATTCAGATTGTAGGAAATGGAACAACTCAGATGAGGCAATGTGTTGCTATTCGCACTCCTCTGAAAATTTACTTATTCAATTGTCCAGAGGGAACATCTAGGTTTTTATCACAGATAAGAATGAAGTCAACTAATGTAAATGATATCTTCATAACTAACGGTTTCACACCCTCCTACTAATCGGAGTTAATTTTGAGATCTTTCAGCTAATTGGGATAACATCTCTGGAATCTCTTCTATTTTGCTTTCCAAGGAAACTGCTGCTCCAACTGCTAGAATTCACGGATCGGTGAACGTCAAGCATTTCCTCGAATGCATTCGGCCATTTAACGATGCCGATTATGGAAGTGCTAAATATCCAACACAAGTAGTTTTTGTTTGGATTCGTTAATTGAACTATTTGTTGAGGTTGATGAAAGGCCTTATACATTGGGGTCTTACGAAGATGCTGGGCTTAAAGTCACATACATGCCTTTAGTCACTGACATAGACTCAAAGGTTATCTTTATAATTTGACTTTTTTTAAACTTTTTGTTCAAGAATGTATGTGTAGCTTACTACGTTGAACTGAAAGCGCCCGCTCGACGTATCGATGCATCTAAGCTAATTGCTCTTAAGGTATTTATTGTTCGTGACTAGCTCTTTAGAGAAATCTACCTTAGGTACCTAAAGGTCCACTGATCGGACAATTGAAAAATGGAGAGACTGTAACATTGCCAAATGGGTCGATTGTGAATCCGGAAGATGTTTATGTAGATTCGATCAGTAACGTAATTCGCTTGCAAGAAATGAAAGATAATATTTTATTTTTAGGATGATAAAGGAACTGTGCTCATTGTTGAATGTCTTAACAACAAAGATGTTGAAATGCTGTCAAGCCAATCACTGATTGAAGTTTGTTGATCTTGTTTTGCTCTATAGTTTCTTCATAACTTTAGAGCATAAAGACTGGGAAGAAAACGTTGAACTATATGGTTCACTTGTGTCCTGATAATATTTTCAATTCACCTCGTTATCGGGAGTTAATAGAATCTCTTGGTGATTCTTGTCAACATATCGTGGTCAATGAGAAAGGTCCTCTCGTACCGGGTGTCGAAAGTATTTTTAGGTAGAATCGTATGTTTTCATTTTCACAGTTTTTAATTTACAGGAATCATAAACTTTTGCACAAAATGTGCCCTTCCGTATTTCCTCCACTTCATCCAACTTGGTCTGGAGTCATAACACAAACTAATGAGTTGCAGAGAAAAGAGGGAGATATAACATATGCTGCTCCTATACAGCGGTTCACAATGCGCAAAGGAGGTTCTTTATTCTTTGTCTCTGTTTATAAAAAAAACCAATTTTTAGGAAACGATGAACCTATCGTTCTCGATTTGAAAGACTCTGGAATTGTCGTTTCTCCCGCCGCAGAAACTCTAATTGCACAGCTTGAGAAAGGTAGTATTCTGTTTAATCAATTCCTAAAGCTGCTATCTCAGAACAACAGAAACTTCCTTTGACTGATGAGTACCCAAAACTATCATTCCTTGGTACTTCATCTGCTGTACCATCGAAATATCGTAATGTCACCGGATATTTGATGGAGACATCGCCAAACGCTGCAGTTATGGTGGATACTGGGGAGGGATCATATGGGCAAATCAAAGTTCTAATGGGCGAAGAAAAAACGAAGCAGGTGAATTGTCAATACATTTGATTCAAGCAAACTCATTCTTCTCAGATTTTAATGAATTTGAAAGCCGTTTTCATTACTCATGCCCATCAAGATCATATGACTGGCCTATATACCATCGTGAAAAGACGAGAAGAAGCTTATCAATGCGCAGGTTCATTTTCACTGAAACAGCAACTTTTAAAGTTATCTTTAGGTGTCCCGTATAAACCATTAGTGCTTGTAACAACTAGAAATGTTTTGAAGCCTTTGAAAACGTACTCAATGTGCTTTGAGAGTCTAGAGCATCTTTTGCACATTGTGGATATGACTCGTTTCCCATTAACACCTCCTTCTAGGTAGTTGAACACCATCTATGTGGATAAACTCTGTTTTCAGCCCTCCTGGTCCAGCGAACAAGAGGCGTCGATTACCTTCACCTGTTTTCGATGCTACTCGGGATGTGATACCAGAACTTCCTCGGCCTCTTTTTGATGAAAAGGAGTGGAATATACAGGAATGTAAAACAGTTCATGTTAGTTTTATAGATATCAATTCCGTATGGTTTCACTCATATTTCAAGGTTCATCACACAAGAATGGCGAATGGATTTGTTTTTCGGGCAAACCAAAAACGCATAGTGTTTTCCGGTGATACGAAGCCATGTGACCTGCTTGTGTCTGAAGGAATGGGTGCAGATGTCCTCATTCACGAAGCGACATTTGAAGATGGACATGAGGTTTAGAAATGACACTTTTTGAATCAGTCATTGTTTACTTTCAGGCTGATGCTTTGCGAAAGAAGCATTCTACCATGGGACAAGCTGTTGATGTTGGAAAAAGAATGAAAGCAAAGCATATAATCTTAACTCATTTCAGTGCTCGTTATCCAAAGGTAAGTTAAAACAAATTGTTGAAACCATTTTATCAGATTTATAATGAACTGATTCATTCAGGTTCCTGATCTACCATCGTATTTGGATGAGTGTGGGAACGTTTCGGTTGCCATGGATAATTTATCTGTTCGATTCGATCATTTACCTTTAGTGCCTAAGTTGATTCCAGTCTTTAGGTAGGTTTTCTTTGAACAATCAAATATTTCCTGTTCTCTTTCAGAGAAGTTTATCAAGAGGAATTGTTCGAAATTGAGCTACGGAAAGAACAGAGAAACTTGAAGGCCAAAGAAGCGAATGAAATGAAAGCTCAAGAACATTTAATCAAAGCTTAAACGGGTATCGAATGTATATTTTCTGTAGCAATGTATGTTGGAGAAATTGTTATTTGTTATTGTTATAAACTTTTTAATTTAATTTCGTCATCCGCCGATTGGTCTTGACCATTCTATATATGCTCATTGACATTTATTATCCTATTATAGTAATATTCTCGTTCTAGATGAATTCCAATGAGCTAGCAGATGTGCGTATCGTAATTGTTGGCGAGTCAGGCTCAGGGAAGACTTCGCTCATCATGAGCTTATTAGATGACGAATGGGTTGACTTCGTTCCCAAACGGATTGAAAGGTTTGCTTAAAAGTAAATATACAGGAAGCTCATCTTATCCGTTGCCAGGGTACTCATTCCAGCCGATGTTACTCCAGAGAACGTTACCACTAGTATTGTAGACGGGTCGTTAGAAAAGCCCGGTATATTCAAAAATTTCTTACTGTTATGGAAATATGTTTTGCAGATGAAACTTTGTTATATCCAGATTTGAAACAAGCTAATGTAGTTTGCATAGTTTATACTGTCACAGATGAGTCCTCTATCAAGAAACTGGGAGAGAAGTATGTTTTCTACAAACGTATTGCGTTTCAGTATAGTTATTCAGATGGTTACCGTTGCTCCGGAATATCTATGGAAGAGAGCACGAAGTCCCTGTTATTTTAGTGGGGAATAAATCTGATGGGCCTGCCAATCACACGGAAAAAGTGAACAGTCTCTCGAAACCTTTTGCGAACATTGTTAGTTCCAGATTTTGCCCATAATGGAAGCTTGGCCAGAAGTTGAGACCTGTGTTGAATGCTCCGCTCGTACCATGAAGAATGTGAATGAAATTTTCTACTATGCTCAAAAGGTCAGCTGAGATGAGTAGTTTTAATTGCATATTTTGCTCCAGGCTGTTGTATATCCCACTAGACCTTTGTTCGATGCCGAAGAGAAGAGATTAACGGACAAATGTCGGAAAGCATTGATCCGTGTTTTCAAAGTGAGTTTTTCAAAGAAGGTTACATTAGACATAACGCTATTTGTCATAGATTTGTGACCGCGATAATGATGGCTACCTGAACGACAACGAGCTTAATGAGTTCCAAAAGCTTTGTTTTGGAATCCCATTAACCTCATCAGCTATTGAAGATGTTAAAAGGGCTGTGAGCGAGGGATGTCCGGACGGAGTTGTTGAAGACGCTATTTCATTGACTGGTTTGTGTTTTGAATATACTAAGATTCCAATGTGGACTTCTAGGATTTTTGTATCTACATTTACTATTCATTGAACGAGGTCGTCATGAAACCACTTGGACAGTTCTGAGAAAGTTTGGTTACGAAGGAAACTTGAAGCTAGGAGAAGATTATATTTATCCCAAGATTATTGTAAACTCATGAATATTGGAGAGATTGGTAATACAAATTATGTTATAGGTTGGAGCAGGCTGTTCGACAGAGCTTTCGCCTGTCGGAATTCAGTTTGTATCTGCACTCTTCGAGAAGTACGACGAAGATAAGGATGGCTGTTTATCCCCGTCAGAATTGGCAAACCTCTTCAGCATTTGCCCATCGGCATCACTAGGAAAAGAGGTTTCAGTTAATCACAATCACATCTGATTTGTTGTTTTAGATACTAGCTTCAGTTGAGACTAATCAGAGAGGTTGGATGACTTATACAGGTTATATGGCTTATTGGAAGTTAGTCCTCTTTTTAATTTGTAGACTATAAGAACTCTGTTACAGTTTCATGACATTGGTTAATGTTTCACAAGCTGCTGAGCAGTTAGCTTATTTAGGATTTGCTGTAGGACGTTCCTTACCAGGCATGAAAACACATTTATATATAAAATAAAAGCTATGTATTTCAGGAAAACCTTGTACCATTCGAGATGCTATTAGAGTCACTAGAGAACGTAGAATAGATTTATCGGAACGTGGAACCGACAGAAAAGTATTCCAATGTCTTGTTGTCGGAGCCAAAGATGCTGGAAAAGTATGTTCATTGTGGTGAAGAAAGTGTGAACGGAAATGTTCCAGACTGTTTTCATGCAATCTTTGGTTGGACGAGGGCTCCAAGAGGTTGTGGCGATAGGACGACGTCACTCTCCCTACGTTATTCACAAAGTGAAAGTGAAAGAAGAGAGCAAGTATCTCCTTCTCAGAGAAGTGGGTTTATTGGCGCTGCTTATTACTAAGTTATAAGCTTTAGGTTGATGTGTTATCGCCGCAAGATGCTTTGACTTCTTCTGAAACTGGTGCTGATGTTGTCGCTTTCTTGTACGATGTTTCGAACCCCGATTCATTTTCTTTCTGTGCTACTATATATCAGAAATATTTCAATAGGTATTATATAGATGTTTGCTAGTCGAACATACATGTATACATGTATTCAGAACCAAAACTCCTTGTGTAATGATTGCAACGAAAGTTGAACGTGAAGAAGTCGAACAGAGATGGGAAGTATCTCCTGAGGAATTCTCTCGTCAGAACGAACTACCACGACCAATAAAGTTTTCACATGATCAAGTAGGTTACTTACAAACAGGGCGTTTTTTGATACGGTGGCTGTTCAGATCGGATTGGCTGCAGGACCTGTGTTTGAACAGTTATCAACGATGGCAGTGTATCCCCATTTAAAGAGAATTTTCTATCTTCATGATTCGAACATACTTTCCAAAGTAACATTCGGAGCAGCTATAGCAGCTTTAGCTGGTTTTCTGGTGTTCAAAAACTTATAAAATCGGTAAAACACATCTGTATCTCATTGTTAACCAAATAAGCCGGTGTTCTTTAAATGTAAGAAGTACATTAGCAATACTTAATGTATGCATGATTTGGATAAACGGGTGTATTTTTGTATATTTAAATTTGAATTAACTATTAGACAATTTGAGGTTAGCATTTACTTTCCTAAAATGTAAAAAAAAAGAAAAATCACTCAGACGGTTCTCGTTGTCCTCCATTATAATAAACGTTATTACCTACACTGAATCTTGTTTGATGACGCCTTCAATGGTTCACTATCTATTAACTATCTTCTCCAAAAGATAACAAATCCTCTTGAAGACTTTCGCAGATGTCTGTAGAACCTGATTCAAAACCTATAGAAACCTCTGAACCAATTGAAGCTGGTAATTTTTCTTCGATCTCTTCAAACTTTTTTTCTTAATAGGCAGCGCCGTGATAAATGACGAGACTGTTCAAGATGCTCCGCTATCGAAGAATCAGATGAAGAAGCTGAGGGCTAGAGAGAGGCTTGTCTTGTGATAGTTGTGCTCATTCACACTTTACCCTCTCTACAGATATAAGGATAAAAGAATGTTCAAACGAAAAGAGGAAAGAGAGAAGAAAAAACGGAAACGACAAGAAATCAGAGATGCTGGCGAAGGTCATACTCTCATACGACACAGAACCACTCTTATGGAAGATTCTACTTGTAAAGTTGGTTTTCTGTTAGAACCGCTTGATTTTAAAATGAAATTCAGTTACGAGTCGCAGTTGACATGGCATTTGATCATTTGATGTCTGAAAAAGATCAAAGATGTACAGTTCAACAACTAGGTTGGTGTTATGCAGCAAACCGAAGAGCCCCTGCCCCTCTCCAGTATTATATAGTGAATTTTGATGGTCCTAGCAGAAAAGTATGCTTGACGGATCGTTTTTGGAATTCTAACACTCTGATTCACAGTTATATGATTCCACAAAAGGTACAATCAGTCAAGACATTCATGTGGAAACTAAAGCTTTGGATGTTGCCTTCAAACCAGAGGAGATAATATACCTGACCGCTGAGTCTGAGAATGTCAGTTAGAGTTCTAAGACTTGGTGTATATTTCATTTGCTCAGGTTTTATCTACTTTGGATGATTCGAAAGTTTATGTTATTGGAGGAATAGTTGATCATAATTCGCAGAAAGGACTGTGTTTTGAATTGGCGAAGCAAAAGGGTTATGGTCATGCCAGGTTGCCCATTGACGAATTTGTCTCTATGAAAACAAGGAAGGTAATAAAAAATTTTTGTTTGAATAATAAACTTTTTCCTTTTAGGTATTAACTATTAACCATGTGTTTGAAATCTTGTTGCACTTCATTTCTACCAATAATTGGGAGGAATCTTTCTTCAAAGTTATCCCACAACGGAAGGGGCTTGAGAAGAAAGCAGAAGGCGAAGTTGAAGCAGAAGCTGAAGTTGAAGTTAAAGCTGAAGCTGAAGTTAAAGAAGAAAAAGTAGAGGAGAAACCTGAAGTCGACTGATTAGGGTGCGTGCGTTTTTTTTTGTTGAAATTATTGTTGAATTTAAGTAAAATCTTGTTATTCTGCATCTTTTTCTTCTGCAAAAGAGATGAGCGAAAGTATCTGTTCGTTATTCTGATGAACATTTCGATCTCAACTTATGTGATTTAGACTTTTTAGTGAACATTATCACCACTTTCAGTTGGATGGTTGACATGATAATGACGACAATACATGTTTTCTTTATCGTTTTTTTTCAAAGACAATCAAACTGAATTCCTCAACACACGTCACTTCTACCGTGGTACTGTTGCTCATAAAATAATCCGTGTTTTCGGACTCTCCTACCGATACCATGCCACCAACAAATGATTCTCGTGTCTCTTGTTTTTGATGTGTAACTATAAAAACGAATTGCAATTCGATCCCTAGAAGTTGGATCAAGAAGTTGATGTCATTTATATACCGGAACTTGCCTGTTTGACAGTTCCACATATATATTTTTGTTGACACTGACCGACTACGAGACGAGATGTGCTGGTTCTGGATTTTCCACCTATATGCACCATTATCACGATCAGAAGCTGTCAATTCTAAGAAAAATTATGGCGCTTCTGTTGCAATTATGATTCGATTTAAATTTTTTTCGATCTGATCTTCAATTCGGATGTTGTTAGTCTTTCATCAGACATCTTTTCACGTCATTTATTGCAACTTTGCTCCTGACGTTATGAAACCATCTGTTATTTTGGAATTCAAGAATGTACCCAACAAACTTAAACCTGTCCAGCCTGTGATGTAAAAAAGAAATTCTTCGATCTTATTGATCTTTCTTCTCTTTTTCACACAAACTTTTTTTATAAGTATATTATAAGATTATGGTGACATCACAGATATACATTGCTGTAAAATGCCCTTTTTTGGGTGCCCGGGAAAAGTTACAGAAAGATTTATTGGTTTCGTTCCTGAAATTTCCCTTTCATTCCTCGAAGAAGACCCATTTTATTTATTTAATATCAGTTTCTTTATTCTAACTAGTTACTTTGCCTATCATAGTTCTTACCTTGCCCTAATAAGCAATACATTTGCTTATAGAGAGACGATGAGAAAAAGAGTGAGAGAGGAAGAAAGAGAATGCAAAGACAAGGGACTAGTTCTGAAATTTTTCCTTCTACACCCACTTTTCTAACCTAATCGTAACAACAATTGTCTTTAATTATTACAACCTATGGTTAAATTGTTCGTTTTTCTCATTATCATCATCACTCTTAATTTGTCGAGAGAAATAAATTTCCTTAACGGCTTAATGTCCAGTCTCAATTACTTACGCCTCTTTGCCAACATATTTAAGTTTTGACCCCATTATGCGGCCATCTTCTGGCATCCCCTATCTCATATAATAAAAGATTCTAACTTTCTGTTTGTAGCAGTTTTCGATCAAAAAATGCCTCTTCATCTTCAAATGCTTGATGAATTACAGACTCGGCAGACGTTGATCGGAAAAAATCTTCAGTTTCGATCAAAACTGCTATAATCGAGTCGCCTATGATCATAAAGCTGTATGATTTTATGAACTTTGTTTCAACAATTTCAAACTTTTTTAATTATCATGAGCGCAGTTGTTAATTAGCTGTCAGGTTGATTGACAACGGTCAGTTTTTGTCCATCTGATACCACACTGTCTTCAAATTATTTTGTTCCTTTCACTTCAAATACTTCAATATGAACTTGGTAACACCTTCTGAGTACAATTCAATATCTTAAAAAGTCATCAGAAGTTTCAAATCATTGTTTCTTCTCAAATTTCATTTTAAAAAAATAGTCTATTGATTTCTATACGTCATCCGATCATTCTGTCGTACTGAATCTGAGAATCACGTCGCATGCTGTCTCTCTGATTTTTTCTCTTCTTTTTTCCACTCTGTGTGATCATTTCTTTAAAGAAAGATCGTGTATCGAAACAGTTCCTAATACCCTTATGAATGTCCGGTTGATTTAAATTTATTTCCAATAATTAGTTCATGTAGTATGATAACTTCCATATTTGATTTCAGCTTCTCTGATCTCTTCTTATTGCTTTTGGAACGAAATGACTTCCGTTGAGCAGAAGAGTGAAGATGACCAGGTATCATACATCTCTTGATGTTTGTCCATCAAAAAAATGACTGTTCAGGTTGAAACAGATAATCCTAGCAACAGCTCACTTCTTTCCCCTCCTTTAGCTTATAAAGCTCGTATAAGATTTAACTCTTCTAAGACGCCCACTTTTGAAGGTCCATCCAGAGATCTTTGATTCAAATCAAACATAAACGTTTTTTTTTTGAAGGAATTGACGAGGAAAATGAAGACTTATCTAGTAATTCAAGTGTTGACGCAGTCGTAAAAGAATCAAACCACAGTGAGAAGCTAAAGCCTACTGAAGAGCTTAATGAGAATGAAGGTGAAGATAACTCTAAGACAGATGAAACTGATGCGAAATCACTCAAATCCATAGATCAGACTGAACCAGAAACTCCGAAGTAGGTGAAAGTTTGAAATTCCTACACTGATTGACTTATAGTCCAAAATCTACTTCCCCTTGTGATTTTAATTTTCAGAAGAAATAAGCGTATATCGGAAAGTAGTTCTGAAGACGTAGAAGTAAATCAAAGATCAATTCTGAAGGTAACCAAGAAAACCATATTAGAGCTGAAGCATTGAGACTCTTCCAGACAGCTAACAAGAATCGGCCTACTCTCGGCCGGCATTTATCATTTGACTCTCAACTTCCAAATAATACAATAGGATCTCAACCCAATATTTCTATAAAAGCAGAAGACGACAAAGATGCCGTCGACAAATATTATGAAAGGAATAACTATACAATTACAGGTGCATTGATATATCTCATACTAATGAACTCTTTCTCTAAGGTATTTATGAGAAGAACCAAGATACTTTTCGTAACCTACCTGACTATCTACGACGTGAACAGAACCGTCGTCAATCAACCAGTCAGAAGAGCATGAGTCGATGTAGCTATGCAAAACCTGAGCCAATTAGTGGTTATCACGCAAAAAAACGTAACTATTAGTTGCTCATCACTTCAATTATCTGATCGAAATTCATTCAGGATTTCGCAAATCGTTCTATTTCCTTCTGCACAATCGAAAGCGAATAGGCTTTCGACATATGTTCCTGTTGATGGCTGTTCTTGCATATACCATATTTGGTGGTTTCGTATTTTATTATATTGAAGGAAGAAACGAATTAGAGGTTTAATAATAATAATTTGATTCAAAAAAAGGAAATAATCGTTTTGTTAGACGGTCACAGCTCGAAAAGCTTATCTGGATGATACAATTATGAAAATGGCATCAGAAATGACAGATCGTATCAATGATCCTTTGATATTCGTAAACGACACATTAATGGAGGAATATTTACGAGTAAAGTGAACAACATGAGATAAAATAACGAATAATATGTGAATTACAGTCTGCTTATATTAAATTATTATCACTCGAATCAGCTTATGAAGGAAGTACTTTGTATAAGGCGGAAGATCCCGAAAACAACTTCAAGTGGACTTTTGCCAGTGCATTCTTCTTTTCAATGAATGTATATACTACAACAGGATATGGTATATTATTTTAGTTCATTCATTACAAAAGTAAAAGTCAAGCATGTATGCAAATATATACAATAATATGTATATATATATATATATATATATATATATATATATAACTACGAACCACTAATTCCCCACGCAGTTTTAGCTGCATATTTAGCAGTGCTCGAGAAGATAAGACTGCAAATATCCTCACAAAAATATTTTTTTATATTCTATTCTAACCAATGAAGAGCGCATACATACACAACCGCTTGTGAACGTCTGCTTCAGCGAAAATGAATTCTATCGACGCTATATGACGTATGCGTGGGCTGATACATATGCAAATTACCTTGAGTAGATAGAAAAGCAGGGCAGAGGGGAAAGGGTGTTATTATGAATTAAGTTTTCATTCTGTTAACCTGAAATATAAATATATATATGACTAAATCATTGTCAGTTAATATTCCGACACTGTTTGTCATCATTTCTTACTTTCTTGTTTCAGGGTCAATTGCTCCTACAACTACAGAAGGAAAAGTTTGTACAATAATATATGGTTTTATTTTTGTGCCATTAACATTGGTAGTGATTAGGGATCTTGGTCAGCTGGCACTTGTTTATTGTACAAAGATATATGCAATTATAATTTTTAAACTCAAGTATTACTAATTATAATAATCGAAAAAAATTTAATAATTATATTTTTAGAACTGCCCGCGGATATGCTGACGGCAAAGACGACGACATTATTTCTTTGCCAATCAAATTTTGTCTTTCAATATTGGCAGGTAACAAGAAATACCAATTGATATTATAGCTCTAATTATATCATATTAAGGTTATTTAATGTTTGCTTCGTTATTCGTTTATGAATATGATGCGTTGTCTGGTCCACCTGGTTCTGGAATTGATTTCTTCAACTCATTTTATTTTTCATTCATATCAATCACAACAATTGGCTTAGGTGATATAATGCCAAACAATGTGCCGGTAGGAAACATTCTAGCAGGATCTCATTAACACAATTTTTTATTTTTAATACAGTTTACACCATTAATATCAATCATATTCTTTCTTGGATTACCGTTGATGAAAGTCGTCAACAGAGTCACATACGTTTGTCTTGAAAACGGAGTGTTTGGTATGTCTTGTGCAAAATATTCATTTATTTTTATTTATTTAAGCCACTATGACTGTAATGGAAAATAGGCTTGATCAACTGCTTGGAAATGATACTTCTATTCAGCTTGATGCAGAGGTTTGCAATGAAAATATTTCCAAAAATATGTTTTCTGAACATGTTCAGAGAGGAAGAGTTAGTCGAGCACCGTCTATTCAAGTTCAACAACCAGCCGCAGATGGTAGAAGTTCAGCTAGTGGTTTACAAGATGGAGGAGCTGACTCATCCGATAATGAGGTTGTTGAAGGAAAAAAATGTCTTTCAATTAAAGCTATATTTAAGGGAGAAATACCAAATGAATGGATTAACAACTTTACAATTCGCTCAATTGCGACATTTATGCGATCAAGTGGTGATGTATACGGAGGAGGATTTGGCCGTGTTAATCTACGTCGTGCTGATATCCTTCCATGCAATAATCAAGATACTGTTCGATCATCTATACAGTAAAGACATGTCATTCCATATATCGGATAACAAGGAAATAGTTTTCGTTTCTCTATGTAAATGTGAAGAAAATTATTGTTTTTGTGCAAGTTTTAAAGTACATTGTCACATATATTTTACAGAAAAAGCTTTGAAAAAAATATTAATAATTTTGAAAATTAATAAAGAAAAGAATAAGATGAAGATGATTATGATCAAGCTCTCTCTCTCTCTCTCCTTCTCCCTCTCTCTCCCTTCTCTCTCTATATTTCTATCTGTTATTGGTATGTAAAAATCGTAAAAATAAAAATAGATTAAAAAACAACAAATGAATTACTTTATTTCTCCATCTCAATAGACATTTGGAAAAGTTTCAAGGTATTATGAAGTAAGTAGATGCTGATGTTGATTCAGGATAAACTTTCACAGCACTCTTCTCATTTCCTGAAAATAGTATAAGATGAGACTTAATGTAACATATACTTGAGATAATATTACCAAAATCGTCTCTTGACGGTGTCTAAAATGACGACAGGATTTGACTGGTCGCTATAAGATGATAACATGCATTGAACAGGTGAAAAGAAGCAGTTTCTGTCATATTTTTTAACAGCCGGTGAAATTGAATGAGTCCATCGACTATTCTGATTTTGTGAGCTGAAAATTAATGAGATACATTAAAATTTTGCGTATGACAATTAGTTGTAATTGTATTACATATATGGTAATGAAGAAGCTTACTCAATGATTCGCATTAGTTGACTATCACTTAAAGAGCTACTGCCCAAATGGAATTGACATGAAGATATCAGGATGAAGAGAAGAATTCTGTAGAATTCCATTTATATACCTAAAACGAGAGGATGTATCGATACGTGTGGAAAAAATGAAATGAGGATGAGCAAGTGAAGCAAATGAATTGTTGAAACATAAAATGTGACAATGGCAATGAATAGGTAGATGGTGTGGAAAAACAACCGCTCGGCGCCATTGCAAACTGAAAGAATGAATGCGAAAGATCTGGATCGGACATCTCACGTAAGCCACGTGAATCGGAAGTCGAATAAATTGAGATTGAGGAATAACAGTAATAATCTTAAGTGGAATGAAGACATATTATATACAGAGAGATTTAAAAGTCGCTTTATCGGCAAGAGGCGGATTTCGGACTTGGATGATTACATTGACTGGATGAACTACTCAGATCTTACATGATTAATTGAAATAATGAAATTTCTATGAATTATTCAAAATAATTATCATAATAACAGTAAAAAATTGAAAAAGAAGATGATTTTAAGCTCTGACACACTGTCAAAAATTAAATTTTTATATTATTTTTGCATTTTTATGCAAAAACAACAAGTACTAGAAGCGGAAAGAAGAAAAGGTCTCAACATGCTGGGAGGTGGATGAAGGAGAAGTGAAATAAGCCATGACAGCCTACTCTGAGAGAACCGATAGCCATACTGAACTAATTGAACGATATTTCCCAAAACGAATATAGCAATCAAGGAAATGCATGATTAAATTTTCATAAATATATATACATAAATATATTAGATTTGAGTTAGAAGAATGTAAACTGATACTTATATATTTATATTTATATATGAGTTTGGAAAAACGAACTGGACAATAATGAATAAAATATAGATTACATAATGAATAGAAATTTATTAAACTAAGAAATTGATGACACATAAGGACATTCAAAAAACAGAAAAAAAACTTCTTTTTGCTTGATTTTGCTCAAGTCGAAAAAGAAATGTCTGCCCTTGCAATTGATGACGAAGAAGCGTTAGCATCACTTCTGCTGCTGGTAAGCAAGGAGGAGAATACTCGGAAACATTACGTCATTTTCGAGGAACATCTATAAGAACACTGAGTTTGCAAACTGACAATAAAACTGACATATAATCTATCTCAGACATTGTTTTTCGTTTTGTTAAACACCTCCTAGTTTTCCATTTATCGCATAAACTGTTACTCTGCTTGAAAATACTATAAGATGAGTTCAAACACGAAAACTGATAATTTGATAACCGTCGATAGCTCAGTTGGTAGAGCGGAGGACTGTAGTAGTGCTGATATCCTTAGG